GAGATCTGATCGATATCTATGAAATTTGATTCTTGGCTCCAATTTATCTGTATTACCGATTACGCTGATCTTTGTTGGTCATTCTGTAGACTTGCTTCACTTTACCAAGTGGTATCCTAAGTCTGCTAGGAAGACAAAAACAGCTTGTATTCAACTGGTATACTTTTGAGACAACCTAATATTATTAGTTAATCAATTAACTGATTTGTAGACACAGTATTCATTTCCTGATATTCTCTGAAATTATTTGAAATTATTATTTGTAATAACAAATTCTTAGAAGCGATACGACCACGACGGTCATGCCGACATCACTACTTGGCGAACGTGCACACCACCTCAGTGTTGCCCCTACAAGGCGACAATGATATCTTCTATAACGTCGTCTGTCACATGCCGTCGACTCCGGAAGGGGCGATTGTCACCGAAGTCCAGTCGGGCCTGTCCAAACCATATCGGGTCACCGCCGAGAAGCAGAGCGTGAACTTCCAGTAAGTGTTACGATTAATCCTTAATGCTATGCATTATGTCAAACGCGAGCAGGTTTTTGACTCCCAGCTGGCGTTCGCCGTCGCAAAAACGCTCTAAAAGTATCGAAATTCTGAGTGAAGAGTAAAATACCGTTTGAGTCTAATGCATTGCGTCTAGAGGGGCTATGTGACAGAAATTCGCTGTCAGGTGTACAAAAAAAATTCAAAATTTTTTTTCACATTTTAAATGCCAAGTTTTCAGGATTCTCGACTTGAATATGTTGCGGGATATGGTACGATGGTCAGAATGTGAGCAGACATTGTCTGTTAGATGGGAACGCGGTACTAATTCGGGCAGGTTTGTCTCCTACTCTACTGTCTTTCCCATCCTCAACCTCCAACTTCGTTTCAGAGGACATTTCATCGTGCGATCTCTCCTGAACGAAAGCCTGGATGTGCTATACATAGAGGGTAAGCATTTGATTTTCGGGATTTTTACTCAAAATAGTTCTTTAGAAAATCCGAAGGCAGAGTACTTGCTGAGTGGACCAATGGCTGGAATACGACATATTATACCTGCAGAATGGGATCAAGAAACATCGGCTACGATTGTTGCTTCATCGTTGACTTGCAAACAAAAGATTTTGGCCGAGGATGAATGTCTGTTTAAAACCAGAGTGAGTTAATTGTTGTATTATTGCTGGGAATTTGGTTGTTACACTTTTGAAGGAATTTATAGAGTTTAACTTAAGCTTTGAGTACATGCAGAAGGGAAAGATAAAATTTTTAATTTATT